GATGCCTTGGAGCCCATAAAGAATCTAGACTTATTCCAGTTTATGTCTTGGCCAGAGACTGCGATATATTCTTTAAGGATAGACATAAAGCGCAGGAGGTTGCGAGGTTTGGCATTAAGGAAAACCACCAAGTCATCTGCATAGCTGAGATGGGTAATAATAGGGCCTCTCCCGTGGTTAAAAGGCTTGATGTAATGGTTTTGAATAGAACAGTTGATGGATTTGCTTAAAGCCTCGCTGCCAATAATGAAAAGAAGCGGCGAGAGTGGATCACCTTGTTTAACACCCCTTTTCATGCTAAAGAACCCTTTAGGTGACCCATTGAATAAGACAGACATTTTAGTTGCCTTGAGATTAGAAAGGAGGAGGTTTGAGACATCTTCATCAAAACCCATTTTTTCCAAAACAGCCTCCAAGAATTTCCAGCTCATTCTATCAAAAGCATTAGCCATATCAATCTTAACTATGATGTTGCCACCTTCAACCTTGCGTTCAAGATGGTGAGCCATCTCTTGAGCCAAGAGAATCTGATAATCAACAGATTTCCCTTGCTGGAATCCAGCTTGCTCAGGCCCAATGACTTTGTTGATAACTATGCTAAGTCTCGTTGCCAGAATACGAGAGTTAATCTTACTCATGAAAGTTGATAAGGATATTGGCCTGAAATCTTTCCATTTGATGGGACTATTTACCTTGGGAATTAAGGTGATAATTGTGCTTGCAAAAGCAACCGGAACCTTAACTCCTAAGAAGAACTCCTGACATGCCTTAAGGAGATCTATTTTGATAATATCCCAACAGGCCCTGAAAAAAAAGCCATTAAAGCCATCAGGACCTGGAGCTGCATTTTCATTGAGCGACCACACTGCTTGTTTCACTTCTTCCATAGAAGGAAGCTTTTTTAAAGAGTTGTTGTCTTCGGCTGTAACTGTACATGGAATATATCTCAGGGTTTCCTCAGAAGCTTTGCAAGGACTCTCTTCAAAAAGCTTGGTGAAGTGCTCAACAGCTAGGGTAGCGATTTTGTTATTATCTATGTGGTTAACTCCCTCCTCATCTTTTATAGCTGTGATCTTGAGTTTAGCCCTCTTTCCCTTGACCACCGAGTGAAAGAACTTTGAATTGGAGTCTCCTTCCTTCATCCATTTGATGTTAGACTTTTGGAACCAGTAACTAGCCTCCCTTTTACAAGCATTTAGAAGTTTGGCTGATGCAAGGTTTGCAGCAGCTCGGTTGTCTTCAGTTGGATTATTATCAAAGGAGTTTTGTCTAGCAAGTGCCTCTTCTTCAGCCATTTTAACATTTTTGAAGATATCTCCAAACGTTGAAACATTCCACTCCTTAATCGCTGTTTTAAGGATCTTGAGTTTCTCAGCAAAGCCTGACATTCCATTCACATTGCTAGACTTTTCCCAATTCAATTTAACCATAGGAATGAAGGTGTCATTAGAAACCCAGCAGTTGAGAAATCTGAACATTTTGGGCCCTTTGTAGGAGTTTATAGCACCTTTAAGGAGGATTGGTTTGTGGTCCGAGCCACTCCTGCTAAGGTGGTTAAGAGTGATGTCATCAAAGAAGTTCAT